CACACACACATAGACACAACCCCCACACACATAACACACACACACAACACACAATCACACGCACGCAGATACACACAGACACAAACCACACACACAACACACATAACCCACACACAACACACACACGCACGCAAACACAGACACAAGCCACACAACACAAACACGCAGAACACACAGAAACACACACAACACACACATAACCCACATACAACCCCCACACACGTACGCACACATACACAACCCACACACAACACACGCACACGCACACGCACCCACACACACACACACACACACACACACACACACACTCCTGTGTCCTTTATCAACAAGACGGGAAATAAAAAAATGAAAAATTAAATTAAATTTTCTTTTCAGATGAATTTGCTTTTTGAATTTTTCCCGCATTTTTTATATTACGGAAGAAATTTGATAGTTTTGTGTAAGTTGTTTGTCACGATTCGGGCTTTAAAGTTTTTGGGGAGGCTTTCTGTGGGAACTGTATCCATTACGTATGTCTGAATTTATATTTAATCCTAGAAATTGTGTCTCGTTTCGACCATTCTACCCCCACAAAGCAAGGCAATAAAGCCACTAAGACGCAAGAGGTTACCGATTGTTAAAGAATATGAGAAATAACTACCATTAAGGAGAGAGGATATTAAAAGAATAACAATTAAAAGAGAGTAGACCACGATTGACATTGCATTTAAATTCTTGAAGATCAAATAAGACCCATGAGCCATATGGTGTAGATGGTTACAGAAAAAGAGGGTCCAGTTTATGGTGATATGTGATGAAGATAATGGTTAACCCTAGACATGAACAAGTTAAAATTGGAGTGATTGAGGAAGCATCCGCTTGGGAGTCGATTCCACAAAACAGCGGTTCCTGGGAAGAAGTTGCTCGGGTGGCGCTTACATCTCACACGGAGAATATGTAAGTGATCAGGGTGGTTCGTTACAATGTGCGTGAAGGTTAGAACTGGGGGGGGGAATAGAGCAGTGAAAGGCTTGCGATGTTTTGACTGTGAGAAATAGATTTGTTGGATGGAAAATAATTTGTCATGCACAAGGACGCGGTGACGCTTTTAGACATCATCGAGACTGGAAAGTGATGTCTAGACATTTCATGCCCATATATAGCAATAGTACTCCATGGCCTGATCTGGCTCTTGTACTTACTAGAGCGGTAGAGAGAACAGGCCATTTTTCATCATGTCTTGATATAGATCGGATTTATAAGTTCCATTTGAGGTCTGGATTGAACTTAAGTCCCAACAGGTGCTTAAGGTACGTGACCTTCCTAAATAAACATCCGGTCATCGTGACTGTTGATAGTCAAGGTTTTTGACACATTCCAAGGAAGTAACCGCAATGTAATCGATTCTGACCTGCGATGATGAAATGTAACGATTGGCTTTCGAAACATTGAATGTTACCAGCCAGTTTTTTCCCAACTGAAATGTTAAGGGTAAGTCCAATAAGAGACCGACTGCCAGTCCATGTTTATGCTCATCCTAATTTAAGTTAGGCCGATCATCCTTTTACATGTTTTGGGTAGCCACCGAGATATTTTATATACCAATTCTGCACCGAGAGGCTTAGAAGTGAACTTCTAGGTCAACCCACTGATATCCATAGCCTCTTGATTGTCTGATATGGCACGAAGGCCTACTTTGGTATCTTTTAGGGTAAGAGGCGTTAATCTGTGGTGAGACCAGTACATACTGAGCTCACTATTCTTAAAGTTAAACTCAATCTCTAAATATACAGCTGGAGCATCAGACTAGACAGCAATGTTCAATGCATGGACGAATTGTAGACTTGTAAGTGTGTAAGATAGATTCTGACGAGAAAAATTGTCTCGTACAACAGAGTGGACCAACCTTCCTAGCAGTAGATATAGCAATTGATGGTTTGCTTTGTTGTGTTTTACGATATATCAACCTCAATGGATCATTTAATGCCGACAACATTTTTCTCTGGTAATATTTTGTTTTGTCAAAAATCTATTTCTAGTAATATTTTTTTCCTAAAAATGTATAGCTTGCAATATTACTTTTAAAACATGTATTACTGGTAATAGTTTTCTTTTTCAAAAATATATTCCTGGTCATAGTTTTTTTCTAAAATATATATTGCTGGTATTATTTTTTTTTTCCAAAAAAAATATTGTTGGTAATATTTCTTTTCCCAAAAATATATTGCTGGTAATTTTTTTTTCCATAAATATATTGCTGGTAATATTTTTCCCCCAAAATATATTCCTGGTAATATTTTTTTTTCCAAAAATATATTGCTGGTAATAGTTTTTTTTTTTCTTCAAAAGTTTATTTCCGGTAATAATTTTTTACAAAGTATTTCTACTATTAAAACCTATTTTTACACTTTAATAATGCTTTTTACCTCAGTTTCGAGGTTAACTATTTGCCCATAGCTGGGACCCTAACAGGTGCTAACACCCCGGGTCAGGGTGGACCTGGGAACACCAGCAAGTAAGAGGTGGTTCCACGCTATTAGAAACCCCCTGATCAGCGGCCTTGCTGTTGGACGTAGTTTGTCGTCTAACCCAGGACACGGATGCAGTTGATCGTCATATCCAGGACGGCCTAGTAATTGATTCAATATAATTATTCCATTTGATGTCAATAGAAAGCTATAGTTTGGAAGCATCAAGTTTACATCCACCATACTGATGGAAGATAGATCATATTCTGGAATACGATTAAAATAGAGCTGATTCGTTTCGTTGGCTTTAAAATCAACAAGCCATTATCTGGTTCAGTTAACAATAGATTGTAGGTCCTTTCTGAGATCAACTGCCAATTTGACTTCATCGAATCGAATGGATTTATCATTTCTTGCACTTTTCGCTTGTAGAACTCCCTTCTGGCTCCATGCATTCCAGCCAACTTTTAACTGATAAAATCTAAATGCAATCTAAATCGTTATGTACTGTCCTCTTGATTAGTCTTTTTTCTTCCAGCTCATTATTAATGGTTCTGTTCCTAATTCTCCCACACCCTATAACCCGTGATATTTATTAGTAGCTTCACTGCCTTGCATGGCGTAATACTGGTTAAAAAAGACAGGAGGAAATAGTTGTTTCCTGAACATAGATTTTTGATTTATACATCTGTTGTCATCTGTCATTACGAAAATAAAAATGCATTTGATATCATGTATCTAATCTGCTTTGCCTTTTTTTAACTTTGTCACATATCATTTTGTTCGTTGAGTTAATTTCTTCATCGTATAAGACTGCTGAACATTGTCGTTTAGAAATCTTTTAGTATGAAAATCCTGGTCTCGTGCTCCTGCTATTCATCAAAAGGTTCTTGACACATTCCAAGGAAGTAACTGCAATGTAATCGATTTTGACCTGCGATGATGAAATGTAACGATTGGCTTTCGAAGCATTGAATGTTACCAGCCGGTTTTTTTCCCAACTGAAATGTTAAGGCTTAGTCAGACGAGAGACTGGCTACCAATCAATGTTTATGCTTATCCTAATTTAAGTTAGGCTGATCGTCCTTTTACATGTCTTGGGTAGCCACCAACATATTTTATAAAATATGTCGGTGGCTACCCAAGACATTGATGAATGTCAATGTAATCGATCCTCACCTGGCATCTCGACTTCAGTCACTTTCTCACCGACGTGACGTAGCTTCCCTATGTCTTTTCTACAAATATTTTCATGGCAACTGTTCTGACGAGGTTTTTTCACCAGGTACCCCGACTACATGAATTTAAACGTGCTACTAGATTGGCATCTAATTCCCACCATTTTACTGCTAAAATATCCAAATGCAACCGCCATTTCTACTCCAATAATTTATTTTCTCACACTTTCCGCCTGTGGGACTATCTTCCGTTTTTTCCATCCCTGATAACTACAATCTTCAAAAAGTTAAATGCAACTTCAATCGCCATTTTCTATCTTCTTGAAACTCGTTCATCTTTTATCATTTCATGGGCTCCCCTGTACACCCAGTCTTTTCTCTCACGTCCACCCTCTCTAACCCCCTGCCTACTAGTGGCATCCCCGACTTGCTTGGGATGAAATGCTTAAAAAAAATGTAAAAAATATTCATAATATTTTTGCCTATTTGTTTTTACACTAAGATGATCAACAACTGAACCTGCAAATTATAATCGGACGTTTCCACAGTTTCTTTTTAGCGTTGTACCGCCTGTCAACATCAATATAATTGATGAAAGTAAGCCCTTAGATTTATGTCAATCTCTGTTTTGATGAAGAACAGTTTAATCATATTTGTGAGCAAAGATTAAATGTACCAGTCAAACGAGTGTTACAAAGTGGAATGATGCATTTTTAAATTCACGCGCTGAAGAGTTCCTTTTGAAGATGAGCAGGTTTGTAACAAAACAAAAACTACAGAATTAGTTGAAATAAAAAGTAAAATGTCATACAAAAAAGGAAAAGAAAATGTGTCTATATTTCATAATGCATCACTGATAATGAAAGAGGACTCTGAATTTATTCAAATACAAAATAAGATAAAAAATAAAAACACCCTGTTTGGAATAAACTAACAGTGGTAGCCATAAATAGACAAAATAAAAAGCAAACGTGAGTCAGTAAGATTAGACAGCGGGACACTGATCTAGAAGGCATTGGAACAAAAGCGATTATATAAGGAAAATTGATAAAGAACAGGTAACAGATTAATTCACTTAAAACTTTATAAAGAAACAAAACATTGGGAAAGGTTTTTTGCTTTGTTTTTTTTTTTCAGAAAATAGTTTTTACTCGCAAACATGACGATCTTTATTAAAGGCTATGTGACAGTGCACCTCACCCAGAACTGGAGGACTATCCCAAACCTCGCCGTTCACTGGTAGCGAATATGTTTAATTTTTATTTAGGCTTGCAGTAATTCTCTCCTGTAGTAGGCTTAAATAATTCAAACGAAAAATGGTGGAGATTAACAGCATAATTAATTTGCCTCAAAAAGTTAATCATCTTCGTCTATCTTATGCTCCCGTGCTAAGGGAATAAACACATAACACCAGGAGACTAGAAGAAAAGTTTATTGTATACAAGTACAATATGAAATACGGTACAGTTATACACATAGGTCAATCTAGTAGAGAGTGCAACTAATTTAAAGGTAGAACGTGCTTACGTCATTTCGCTCTCACCTGCCTCCTCTCTGTATATTTAACAGTCCCCCCACGAGGAATGTATGTGGCACAAGGCCGAGTTTAACATGGGTTTCTCCGAGACCGTAGGCTCGGCCAAAAATATTCCCTTAGAACTCGCATAAGCGGGTTCAGGATCTGTCTACCTCCCCGGACGAAACTTTGCTCTTCGACAAAGCTTCCACTGGGTTTCTGCTAAATGATTCTCTAAGAGTAGATTAGATGTGGCACAACGCCGAAAGTTTCGGGCACCCAGTGAGGATCGAACTCACTATTCAGTCGCAAATGTTCTAGCGAGACAGGTTTGCTAACCCTTACAGCGCCTCGAGGTTCCCAAACTTCCTCCTCTCTGGTATTTACTCATTCCCCCACAAGAATGAGATGTGACACAAGGTCGGGCAGGAACAAAAATTCCTCTCAGACCCCGCAACCGTCGGTTGCGCTGGCCTCGGTGCGAGCACCGATCCCTCCATCTGGTGCAATGGGAGGGCGCGGCCTCAGGCAGCTCTTCCCAACCTTCCTCCTCTCTGTCCAAGTCACTCGTAAACAGTAGACTTTATAGGTACTTACTACCTATAGCGCAATCACTCTCGGGGGCGACCGGTTATTCCATTACATCAGTATATTTTTTCATTACTAAGGTCTTATATGAATTAATATATAATATGGCAGAGCTTAGAATACACCATTTCCCAGCGCTTTAACAAGCAAAAAAAACAACAACCTAAAATCCGTGTTTTAGCAGCAGCGGAGTTATGGTTAAGGATTTGTACACCTCGTTTACAATATCTAAAAATATCTTTCCATTAACTTTAAATACCAATCTTTCATTTATTTTGCAATAATAAATATCCCGTAAAGTAAATTAAATTTCTCTTTTCAACATCGATCACGAATCCCGTAACTCATGAGGGTCGTAGGGTCCACACAGATAACTTGAACGAGCCAAGCCCTCTCCTAAAATTCAGTCTGTACTGCTATTTACCCATAGAAAAAAAAAAAAAGATTCATACCTTTCCCGAGGTAAGTGAAAGGAGATCGAACTCTGCTCTCTGATACCGCATTCCAAGACGCTATAAACTACTACGCTGTTCCTCCCATAAATACAGCGTATTTCTTTTCAAATAACTTTTATAAAGAAAAACAAATTAATCATAAGAAATAAAAATAAGAAATCTTCATTATAGTTGTAATTAATAATAATATCATAGAGAAAATTTTTAAATTAATTTTTTTTAAATAACTAATAGCAGTTTTGATTTCAAACCAAGAAGTACACAATTTACATTATTCAGACTATTGTCCTCATCTTTGCCGCCATGTTTATCACAACGTTTCGGCCCTTCAGTATCTGTCTATATTTCTGAGATGAAGTATTATGTACACTATTTACATTATTCGGACTATTGTCCTCATCTTTGCCGCCATGTTTATCACAACGTTTCGGCCCTTCAGTATCTGTCTATATTTCTGAGATGAAGTATTATGTACACTATTTACATTATTCAGACTATTGTCCTCATCTTTGCCGCCATGTTTATCACAACGTTTCGGCCCTTCAGTATCTGTCTATATTTCTGAGATGAAGTATTATGTACACTATTTACATTATTCGGACTATTGTCCTCATCTTTGCCGCCATGTTTATCACAACGTTTCGGCCCTTCAGTATCTGTCTATATTTCTGAGATGAAGTATTATGTACACTATTTACATTATTCGGACTATTGTCCTCATCTTTGTTGCCATATTTATCACAGCGTTTTGATAGTTGTACGCTCCGGCCTTCTTCAGGTAGTTGGAATGTCGAACTGAACCCTTTATTTCGCTCACTGGGGTAGACTGTTCTAGTTCTACGTGCCATATCTAATGGATGTCAGTTATCTCCTGTTAATTCCCCTCTGAAAGTTCTCCACTGCCTTAACCAGGTATTGAACTCACACTCTTTAGGTCCTGTCACTGGATCTAACTAACGCCTTTGCCCACTGTGCCATGTGTCCTTGAGAAATATCGACAGATACTAAAGCCAGAAGTTTTGTTATAAATTTAACAAAGCATTATTAAATTTAATTTTCCTTGAGGAAAGTTTGTAATATTTGTAAGAAAAAAGACTAGAAAAATATGATTAATAATTTTTTTTGTTATATTTCGGTTTAAAAACCCGTGGTATATATTCAACATTTTTTTTTATTTGTGAAAAATAAAATGCAGATTAGGCAGAAGTGAATAAAGTTGATCATCAGTGTATTTGCATCTATGAATAAAAATTGTATAGAGAAGTTTAAATAAACTTTAATTAAAAAATGTTAAATTAACTTCAAAGAAAAATGACCAACTTACCGAAATTACATTTTGTTAGTGAATTTCACACAAAACGTTTGGTTTGCAATAAAAATATAAAATAATATATCATTTCCAAAGGGAATAAAATAAATTTTATACTTACTTCAGATAAGTTAAAGTTATTCCAAGTGTAAAATCAAAAATTACTTTGACTACAGTAGCGAACAACTGCAAACCCAAACCGGAACTAAAATTTTTCGCTACGTGTGGAACGACAAAATTTGTGATAGGCCTTTAGTTCTGGCACAGATTTACACCATGACATGAGCGATCTTCCATCAGGCAAATTTAATTAAGAACGAATTAAAATGATTTAAAAGTAATTAATTTTTTTCATTACCTGATGTGTGTAGGTAGGTATTTGAAACATGAAAAAAATTCTATTTGTGCAATGCATAAAATAAATATAAGATGATTAATGAAGTGAGATAAATAGACATGAACAAACAGATAAATATGAACTGGTTAAGATAGATAGATAGATAGATAGATAGATAGATAGATAGATAGATAGATAGATTGAGAAAGAAAGAAAGAAAGAAAAAAGGAAGAAAAAAGAAAGACATTGAGATAGATAGATAGATAGATAGATAGATAGATAGATAGATTGAGAAAGAAAGAAAGAAAGAAAAAAGGAAGAAAAAAGAAAGACATTGAGATAGATAGATAGATAGATAGATAGATAGATAGATTGAGAAAGAAAGAAAAGAAAGAAAAAAGGAAGAAAAAGAAAGACATTGAGATAGATAGATAGATAGAGAGATAGATAGATAGATAGATAGATTGAGAAAGAAAAGAAAAAGAAAAAAAAAAAAGAAAAAGACATTGAGATAGATAGATAGATAGATAGATAGATAGATAGAGATAGATAGATAGGTATGAACTGAGAAAGATAGACGTGAACAAACTGAGATAGATAAATATGAAATGGTTGATATATATATATATATATATATATATATATATATATATAAAGTTGCAAATTAAAAAATTAATAATGTTTTTTATGAAAGTATTTATTTATATTTGATATTTCAGATCGACCTCGATCTTTCTTATAGATAGATAGAGAGAGAGATAAAGAGATAGATAGGTATGAACTGAGATAGATAAAAATGAAATGGTTGATATATATATATATATATATATAGAGAGAGAGAGAGAGATAGATAGATAGATAGATAGATAGATAGATAGATAGATAGATAGATAGATAGATGTGAATCAAAAACATTTGAAGAGGAGCCAGGTTGATCATAACTTGCATTAAAAGATCAGACTGGAAATGAAACCTATTTCTTTGTATTTTAATTTTTCTAATTAGAGATCCATTTTTAATATTAGTTTTTAATTGGACTTTTCAAGTGAAAACTTTTTTTTTTCATTTTTATGTATTTTATAAAAACCAATATGAACACTTAAGACTCTATATAACAAGAAAATAAACAAAAACTATGTGATTTATCCCTATTTTAAATAATGGCTCAGGAAAACTTGAGGTTACTAATGCTGCCACAATGTCCTGTACTCTTAACGGATGTTTAGTTGGTAATAACAGTTTTTAACTGATTAAATACTGAACTAAAACATAACTCATAGGCAATGAAACAATGAAAGGAACAAATCCGATGACAATACCAATGTACAAGGTAACCAAAAAAGTTCTGTCCTTTTTTAAAGGAAAAAAAGAAAACGCTTCACAGTATGTGTAAGTTATATTTAGTCTGTCTATATTTCTGAGATGAGGTATTATGTACAGTATTTACATTAGTCGGACTATTGTCCTCATCTTTGTCGCCATATTTGTCACAACGTTTCGGCTATTGTACGCTCCGGCCTTCTTCAGGTGGTTGGAATTTCGAACTGAACTCTTTATTTCGATCCTCAAGGACACATGGCACAGTGGATAAAGGCGTTGGTTAGATCCAGTGACAGACCCAAAGAATAGGAGTTCAATACCCGGTTAAGGCAGTGGAGGACTTTCAGAGTGAAAATTAGCAGGAGATAACTGATAACTGACATCCATCAAACATGGCACGTGGAAGTAGAACAGTCTATCCCAGTGATCGAAATAAAGGGTTCAGTTCGAAACTCCAACCACCTGAAGAAGGCCGGAGCGTACAACGGCCGAAACGTTGTGACAAATATGGCGACAAAGATGAAGACAATAGTCCAACTATTTATCGGCATCGACATCCAGCACCTTCTGCCAACGTGTCTCCAGCTGTTCAATGCCCTTGCATAATGAACCACTTGACGACCTGTCCACCAGACTCAAAGCATAATCTTGCGTGGGTGCATAGGCGGTCTTGCGGTGTGAGGGACAGCATCCTGAGGAGACAACCAATGTCTGGAACACTTGAGAGTTTCGTACAGAACCCACTTTTCATCACTGGTAAGCACTCAATTGAATAAGGATGCGGTACGGTGGCGAGAAAGCAGCGATACGCAGGCTGCTACTCGTTGCCCCTTGTGGACCTCCAACAGCGTTTGCGGAACCCACTTGCTCAGTTTGTACGTCTTACCTAGGCGGTGCAAGTGAAGTCGGTTTCATCGGAAAGGTTGAACTGTCTTGCAAGTTCACCATATGTTAGACTACTGTCCTCTTCAATGGCCGCCTTCAGGACTACGTCATTCAAGACCTGTGGTCGTCCACTGCGAGGCTCATCATGGAGAGACAAATCTCCCGACTTGGATTTCCGAAACCAACGCCCTGAAGTACGTTCATCCACAGCACTATCCCCAAACGCTTGACATATGCTGTCCAGCTTATAACTGATGGCCGGGCACGGTGCAAGTGTTTTTGATAACGTCCGATGTTCCTACTTCCGGCTGTCCGAATTTGAAAACAATTGCTACACGCATTTCGTATATATTTCAACTTCATTCAATGTCTAATCAAAAAACGGACAGAACTTTTTGCTTACCTTGTATTTGTTGAGTAAAAATCAACCTATCAAGACTATAAATTTATAACTATACTTTAATGTGATAGGCAAAGTAATATAAAAATATAGTTAATAATATACGTATAACATACGAATCTAATCATGACTGATAACAGTAGCAAAAGAACTCCGGTAAGATCCGTGAAATGATACGACCATTCGTCGAATGAAAATTCTTCCGCTTGAGAAATTCCACTGCCATCATTTGAACTGAAATCCTGGGCAGATCACTTACGCATGCGCGCAGCTAAACAGTTCACAATCCAGATATTATCTATAATGTTCAGGAGAGTCATTTTCATTCAAAGAATTTTTTCCCTGCCAATTTCTTCTTATATATGTTGTCTTCACAACGATCCATTCTACGACATCCTTCAGTTGCACTCTCTGAAAAGAGGCATTCTTTTCTTTAGTGCAAAAGAAAAACAATAACAAAGAGAAAAAAAAATGACATGTTAAGAGCAATGCTTTTAAAATAAATTATTCTATTTTCAGTGACGCGTACAGTACAGCCAATTCCATAATTTTAATATGGAAACATTCCCAAATATTTTCTTTCCTTAAAAAAATAATTCCATATCGTAATAGCAGTTATAGTGGTGAGAAGTGTAATCGACGATTCGAATTCAAATGCCTACTCTTTTGTGTTCATTTTTGCACTAATACTCTCGGTAAAGGTACGCATTTATTTTTTCTTCATCTACGATGAGATAAACAATAGGGTAGACCGTCATGGTTTGAGTGACAGCAATTCTAATAGAAGGAATAATTATAATTCAAAATCCTGGAAAATTCATCAAGAAACCGCGCTGCTATATTTACCAAGGCATAACAATTCAAAGATAAATAGGAAAAAGAATAAGTGGAGAGCCATGATTGTCTATACCCTGAAGGATGATGGCATTTTAAAAACAAAGGTCCCTGTGGTGCAACAAAGTCAAGCCGTTTTGGAATCTATACTAGACATCCTTATGCATTTCGTCATCAAATTGATACCTGCTGATTCTTGCAATTTTCACACTTTCCTGTGAAGTTTTCTGTCTATTATTAGGATTTTATCGTAGAAAGTTTAATATACACTTTTTCCCTCTCTCTCCAAATACCTTCTCCTATAATAATAATATAGTATGTACAAAAGTTAATAAAATAGATTTTATACTTACTTCAAATAAGTTAAAGTTATTCCAAATGTAAAATCAAAAATTACTTTGGCTACAGTAGCGAACGACCGCAAACCGGAACTAAAAAATCTTCGCTACGTGTGGAACAAGAAGATTTTAGATAGAGCTCCAGTTCTGGCACAGATTTACACCATGACTTGGCCTTTAATAAAGAACGATCTTCCATCAAGAAAATTTAATTAAGGACAGATTAAAACGATTTAAATGTAAATAGTGTTTTATCATTCATTATATGATGTATGCAGGTATGTATTTGAAATATAAAAAAATATTTCTCTTTGTGCAATGCATAAAATAGATGTTAGTATTACATTTCGGGATATAGTCGATGTCTGTATTACATTTCGGGATATGGTCGTTTGTTGTTAGTGGTACCTGACTTTCAGGGTACGGGTAAGTTCTTTCCTTTGTATTCTATAACCTTGGCGAGATGCATGGGATAATAAAAGAAATAGGGTTTTTAGGATGTCATCCAAATCTAGGAAGGAGTAGGAATCAATTCTGACCGAAGCGTCTTGTTCAGACACTGAAGATCAAGATAATCGTTTGGAAATATATGGAATAATAAAATACGTTATAACAAAATTTCAAAAAAAGAAAAGACGAGTCTTGTATAGGAATTAAGAATATTTATTACCCTACAAATTATTCAAACAGATCTCTTCATCAGAAACAGCAGAATTAAATGGTCATATGACAACTATCCACCCTGGAAAATTGCCCCCGAACAATTACCCCTTGGACGATTTTACCCCATAGGACAACGGCCCTTGGAAAATAGAAAGGGCACATTTTTAAAGATTTTTGCTTTTACTTCAATAACAAATATAAATTTCTAAAAGAGTTATTCTTTGTGTTTATGTCCTGCTACCAAACAAAAAAGGAACAATTTATCAATTACATTTCGGGATATGGTCGTTTGATATTACTGGTACCTGACTTTCAGGGTACCGGTAAGTTCTTTCCTTTGTATTCTATAACCGTGGCGAGAAAAAAACAGTAAAAATCGCCATTTTCGCTATTTACGAGTGTTTTCACTATATGGGTGGAGTCAGTTATCAAGTTAAATGACTGTTAAACAATCAACTTATTTTTGGGTGCAATTGAGTGAAGTTTACATTAGATTGCTTGAAAAATGAAGTAGCATTTAGTCTAAAATTTGTGTTGAAATCGATTTATGTTTTAATCAATTTTTCGTTTAGCGCGGTGTTTCGCTAAACGCAGTGGTGTAGAAATAGAACCGAGGTGTCGTTGAGCTCGTCATGATGTAAGTAACCTACATACCGAGTTTGAACGAAATCGGAGGAAAAAAAGTTGAATTTCAACACTTCAGTAAATTTTACTTGTTTTTACTTCAATAACAAATATAAATTTCTAAAAGAGTTAATCCTTGTGTTTATGTCCTGCTACCAAACAAACAAGGAACAATTTATCAATACCTTCTCCAACAATTCCTCGCAATCAACCCTTGCTCAATCTAATCCTTATGAGCAGCAGCAGCATCAATCAAATGGTGTGCAGGACATGCAGTACCGCTTAAGCGAAAACGTTATCAAGACTGGACAGTCAGAATAGAAAATATCGTAAAAGACTTTGTGAACCGTCGTGTTGGACTTAATGATGTATAGCCCATAATTTGCAATTTTAGTTGTATAAGTAGCAGCCATACCCAGCTTGTGGATCAGAAAAATTCAATTAGAATGGAGCAAAAACAGCATCATGTTTAGATGTTACAGAGTCTATATTCAACAGTGAGTGAAATTTGTATTAGATTGCTTGAAAAATGAGGGAGCTTTTAGTTTAAAATTTGAAATGGGTTTGTGTTGAAATTAATTTTGCGTGTTTCGCTAAACGCAGTGGCGTAGAAATAAAAATGAGCTATCGTTGAGCTCGTCATGATGTAAGTAAGCTACATACCGAGTTTAAACGAAATCAGAGGAAAAAGTTGAATTTATCGATTTTTGATCGGCTTTATCGATTATTGATTTTTTAAATTATCGATTTTTTACGCTAAGAAAATATCTCTTACATTGTACAATGTATGTGCCAAGTTTCGTCAAAATCGGTTGGATAGATCTAGAGTGAAGACACACGCACAGACATCC